ATTTTGCCACCAGACTGTTCCCTTGGGAGTTCTCTCAGGTTGGTTCCTGTGACCTGCTGATACACTCCCCATTCTTTTGTTTTGGAAGCATTTCTTTCCCTCTGGGACTACAAGGCTCATCTTAGGTGTTCCCTGTCCCAACCCTAGAATCAGTCATCTCTCCAAGGAGCCTTGGTTCTTTTTATTTGACAGTGGCTTTAGAAACCAAGATATGTGCTTATTGCTACTGAGTTGTTACTGCTTCTAGTGCCTGTCAGTAAACAGAGTTAGCAAATATGTGCATGTGTACAAACCCAGGTAGAATGCTTATCTATACTTATTTCTATATCTATCTATCTTTATATATTTTAACCCAAATATGAGGTCATACTGATTATTTCCAACCCTAATCCAGTACCAGAGGGTTTATTGGAGTCTTATTCACTTGCTTATGCAAGGAGAACCAAAAAAAACTTGGAGTTTATTTATTCAAAATTGTGTATTTATTCTTACACTTTTTTTTTTTTTGAGTTGGAGTCTCACACTGTAGCCCAGGCTGGAGTGCAGTGGCACGTTCATGGTCACCCCAGTCGACTTCCTGGGCTTACGTGATCCTTCTGCCTCAGCCTTCCAAGTAGCAGGAACTACAGGTGTGTGCTACCACGCCCAGCTAATTTTTTTATTTATTCTAGAGAGAGGTCTCGCCAAGTTGCCCAGGCTGTTCTCGAACCGGTGGGCTCAGTCAATCCCCTCACCTCGGCCACCCAAAGTGCTGGGATTACAGACTTGAGCCACCATGCCCGGCCTACACTTATACATTTAAACTTCAATCGCCTTCAAAGTACTCTCCCTTTGATGCCATGCACCTATCAAGATGCTTTTTCCATTGCTCAGTTTCTGAATTCATCAATTTTGATGCCTTTTAGTGCTTTTGCCATCTTTTGTTTCACCTCTTCCACATTGGCAAAATGTTTCCCTTTGAGGACTTTTTTATCCTGGGAAACAAAAAAAGTCACTCCAGGCAAGATCAGGTGAACAGGGAGGGTGGGGAATGGGGACCATGCTGTTTTTTGGTCAAAAACTTCTGAACACTCATTGTGGTGTGGGCAGGTGTGCTTGTAAATCACCCATCATGAAATGGGGAAACGGGTTGAAAGACTTTCCAAAAAACTCACTGAAGCTGAAGAGAGCCTCTCACAACAATGCTAGTCTACTGCTGCTGATGGGGTCCTAGAACACTTACCTAGCGGGGTAAGCCTGGACTACAAGGAGCCCACCCTCCAAAAGATAATATCAGGGGTTTCTGGGTCACCTTTGTATGTAACTTTCCTCTCTAACAGTGAAAAAACTAGCTACTGCCATTCCTCATCCCTTTAGTTGTTTTGCTACAGGGATGTAGTCTTTATCAAGTTATGAAAAGTTTTCCTATTCCTATTTTTATGCAAATTTTTAAAATCAAAAGTATTTTTTAAACATCTTTTCCCATCTATTGAGATAATTTATTTTAAATAATTATTAATCGATAATAATCGATTTTTCTCCTTTATTTCTTAATGTGGCGAATTATATAAGCAAGATACTTCTTGTTTTTATTTTTCAAGTAGAGCTTTGGATTCACTTAGCTAATATTTTATTTACATACATCTATACCCATATTGAAATAAGACCATCGTTTTCTTACTTTGTATTAGCCTTAGGTGGTTTTGTATTTAAGGTTATATAAGCCTTGTAAAAGATGTTGGGATACTTTCCCTCTGTTCTGTTTTGTGAAGCAAAAACTGTATAAGGTGGGAATTATATGTTTTTTAAAAATATTGTTAGAACTTAACTGAAACATCTTCTGTACCTTGGGCAGGTGTTGTATTCTGAACGTTTGCATCTCCCCAAAATTCATATGCTGAAACCCAGTCCCTAATGTGATATAATGAGACAGTAGGGGCTTCTGGGAGGTGATTAGCTCATGAGAGTGGGGCCCTCATGGATGGAATAAGTTCCTTTATAAACTAGGCCCAAGGGAGCTCTTTTGCCCCCGTTCACCATGTGAGGATACAGCAAGAAGGCACCCTCTGGGAAACAGAAAACGGCCCTCACCAGACACTGAGACTCTTGAGCTTGAATTTCTAGCTTCCAGAACTGTGAAAAATAAATTTCTGATAATAAATGACTCAGTTCATAGTATTTTGTTATATAATCCTGAACAGACAGAAAAGTTGGATTATCATTTTCTTCAATGATTATTGATCTATTCAAATTTTCTGGTATGCTTTGTGTCAAATTTGGAATTATTACCCTTCTTCCAGAAAAGGAGTCATTCCAGGGGCAGTCATTTCCCAGGGAGATTCGTTCTTTGAAAGTTGCAGCAGTTGGGGCATTGGGAGATGGGATCACACAAGTGTTACATGTATCAGTGATGGGGGGGTAGGTGGATGAGTGGACTTGGGGGGATTTAAATCATTAAACAAGCTTCATTTATGTCATGATTCTTACCAAGACTGGCCTCACGCTTATGGCTATTTTATTCCATATTGGACAAGAGGGGAACATCTACTTCAATTTTGCCTCAAAGAAAAAAAGATGAGCTTGGTGCTTCTGATATTTGTCTTGATTTTACCATTATTTTAGTAAGAAACACACATGGATGTAATCTGGATTATACTAATATGATTGTCTATTGTTTAAATAGTTCATTTAATTATCATATGAGCTTGTAACACCTCATATCATCTTGAATCCTTGGTTAGTCTTTATTGCCATGGGATTTATCAGGTATATATTCTCAATTAGACCATCAGTCTCTTACAGATAGGTTTACTGTACGGTTTTGCTTTTATGAGTCTATTACGGCTGGTTGTATGATGCAATGCACATAGCAGACACTGGTGTTTGTTGACTTGAATTGTGGAGAACCAGAAGCTTATTTCTTTTTTCTAATCTATGGATACTGCGTCCTTCACTGGGGTTCATATGACTGTCTTTGAAATAATGCTTCATTTTTATTCTTGCTAAATAAGCAAATAATGAATGTCTTGATCTTAATCAATACCACACTAAAATAATCATCCTAAGAGATTCAAACTTGTATCAGAAGAGAAAGGAATTCCATATCTCTCCTCTCTAGAGTTTCAATGAGTTTTTATCCAAATAAAATAATGCAAACCATTAAATAACTGCATCTTGTGTACAATAATGTATACTTCTCATATTCGGAAAGTCTATGATAAACACACTTTTTTTTTTAATCAGGGTGCAATCACAGCTTGCTGCAGCTTTGACATCTTGGGCTCAGGCAATCCTTCTGTCTTAGCCTCCTGAGTAGCTGGGACTACAGGTATGTGACACCACAACTAGTTAATTTAAAATTTTTTTTTTTTTTTTTAGAGATGGGATCCCGTTATGTTGCCCAGGCTGGATAAACACAATTTAATATGAACTTGATGTGAGTTCTGACTGAATTTTTCCTTTTAGCTCTTTCCAGAACTTTAACTTAACCTGGTAATATTAAAATGGACAAGAAACAAACACACATAACAGGTGTGAATAAGAAATGTGGCCACTGGAGATCAACTGGTTGGCTTCTAGGGTTGGACATGTGCTGTGGCTAACTCAGTCTAGTCCAGGGGCCAGTTCACAAGCTTGTTGACTCAGAAACCTGCATACTGAGGAATTTTGACAACATTCCAAGAACCAACCTGCCTTTCAGGATAGATTGACAGTAAGCAAGCTCAAGACCTGGGTCTATTTATTCATATGTACAGACATTTATTCAAGACGTATTTATTGAGCCTTATGTGCCCTATGATGTGTGTTCCAGGTAGTAGGAATGGAGCACTGGACTTTGTTTTGTGCCATTATCTAGTGTATACTTTTAAAAAGGGATTTGACAAGCAATTGAATACCTAATATCACCAGCAGGTGATAAGGGCAATAAAGGAAAATAGAGGAAGGTAAGAAGACAGAGTGAGGGATGGATAGGAATAACCCACATGAAGTGAGAGTCTGGGCCACTGAGCTCTGGGCAGTTTCAAAGGGAGAGAACAAGTGCAAAGGCCCTGAGGTGGATGCCAGCATAGAATGTCCAAGGTACAGTGGTCCTCAGTCTTTAACACACCACAACGCTCTTGGAGGCAAATAATGCAGATCTTTTACGTGGAAAGCCAACTTACTATCCAGAGGTTGGTTGGTGAGCCTGGTATTTCAACAAAGGCTTCATGACCTGGTATTGGGTTAGGTGACTCCGAAGCATCCCTCTGTACTTCTGAGCCACACTTGCCATCAAACATGTCTCTGGCTAAGACGGGATGGGCACTCCCAACTTCTGTTTCTTTGCTTTTAATTTGGGGACAGGATACACTGGATGAGTTCCAACTCTACCAGTAAAACAGAGGTTAAAACGAATAGGTAGAAACAGACTGGTGCATTTTTATATACAACTTCAATACTTGGATATGTGTTCAAATAAATCACGAACCAGCTCCTCAGAAGAGTAACTGGAGATTAGAAGAGTAATTGACCGCGGGGAGGATCTCCCAGCAGTAAGCCCGTCAGACGTCTACCCCGGAGAAATCCAGCCTCCTGGCCAACCCGTCGGGTCTCGGATTGGCAAAGTACCGAATCTCGTTGTCCGTGAAGCAAGTTCTTCAGGCGACACCGTCAGGGCGCCCTCGGTGCTGCTGCGACGCGCTGGGCCCCGGTGGTCGCGGTCCAGTGGGCTCGGGAGTGAAGGGTCTGCGTGTTCTTCCCGCCAAAGGCCGCAGAGAGCTTCGCCGGGGGCAGGAGGCGCGCCCCGGTGGACACCAGCCTGCCGCAGACGGGCGGGAGTGTAGCGGAGGGTTCGCTTGCCTTAAGCCGCAAGCGAGTCGACGGGGACCGCAGACACACGGCAGAGCCCGTGGCCGTAGCTGGCCGCCGGCCCGCTGCTCCCACAGGCCCCGCCCCTTCCGCCGAGCCCAGCCTCCTCTAGGTCCCGCCCCCTCCGCCGGTCTCCTCTTCCTTGATCCCGCCTCTTCCTCCAGTCCCGCCCCTTCCGGCCCACGTGCGGCCGAGGGCGCGTGGCGGGTCTCTGGTCACCTCTTACCAGGTCCCGGTAGGTGTACCGTTTCCGTCGCGCCACCGCCTTCTCGGCCATGGGGGTCTCCAAGAGGAAGGCCCCGAGCGGCCAGGGTGACGTGGCTTCCTCCGCGGGTGCAGCCAAGCGGGCCCGCAGAGAAGAGCTCACGGGCGTGCTGTTCAAGGCCCAGCTGAGGGAACCTCAAGGCCTCGGGCCAGGTGAGTGCGGGTCGGCGGGCCCAAGGCAGGGAGCATGTGTTTGCAGGGAGGCCTCCAGGCTTTGGTCCGGGTGGAGCCTCCGTGTGCCAGACACAGCCTCCCTTTTCTGCAGCTTTTGGGTCACCCGGGGACAGTGCCCGGTCTCCGGTTTTGCAGAAAACCAGGACCCTGGTGAGAGTCCTTGGCCCGCAGAGCCAGCTCCAGGACTGCGCTGCACTTTTTTGCTGGGTTGTCAGCGACAGTAAGAGGGCCCCGACTTGCTTGGTTGTGACAGTTTCGTACGACTACACGTTTCCCTTGCCGTGGCAGCATCCCTCAACAAGCTCTAAAACCTCTTATTGCAGCTAAATGAAATGTCCTTATTCACACAACAAATATTAATATTGAGTCCGTACTGAGTCGGCTCAGGGCAGTTCAATGAGACCGTTTGCTACATCTTGGGTTGTCAGCACCATTTTTAGTCTCCATACTCTAACACTCACACTGACTTGGTAACTTGTACCAAACTACTAGGAGCCACCACAACTACTTGTCAGTTGACCAGGATTGGACCAGTGACTGAGGTGGAGCAGATTCTGTAATGTAAATTCACTTTTTGTAAGCCTGACCGCCCTTCACAACTACCTGTAATCCTTTGGAAAGTAACACAGTTTGGAAAAAACACAATTGAACCTGTTGCAATGTGGAAACATTGTACTAAAGTATAACCGTGACAATGTTTCTCTCAGATTAAAGAAAGTACTAAATTAGTGGTCAGAACATCCTCAATTTCTGTAACTTTTTTTTTTGAGTTAGAATCTCACTCTGTTGCCCAGGCTGGAGGGCAGTGGCCACTCCCGGCCACTGCAGCCTCGATCTGCTGGGCTCCGGCGATTCTTCCACCTCAGCCTTCCGAGTAGCTGGAACTACAGGCGTGCGCTACCATGCCGGCTAATTTTTTGATTTATTGTAGAGATGAGGTCTCGTCAAGTTGCCCAGGTGGGTCTCGAACCCGCGGGCTCAGGCAATCCAATTTTTCTCCTACAGATTTTGTTTTCAAGCTTTAGATACACCTGCTTGGCAGGCTAGGAAGATGATGCCTACTTTAGCACAGAACTATACCTTTCATTCATTTAAGCACTCAGTGTTTATTAAGGTCTAGTATTTGGTAAGGTAGAGATAAAATGGTGAATAAAAATCTGACACAGGCCCTGCCATCGTGGAGCTTACAAACAGTCAAGTGGGAGAGGCAGGTATCAAGCAATAAAGTCATATGTACACAGATTGTAGCACAAATCCTCCAGAGGACAGTGCCTAACAGGCCTTGCATCTAATCTGGGGGATTAAGGAAGGATCTCTTGAGGAAATGGCTTTTCAAAAGGATTGTAGGATGGCACAAGGACAGGAACCTTTCTGGCAGAAGAAAGAGCACACTTAATTACTGAACAGATGCTGTATCTATATTTCATGGTCCTGCACAGAGAGCACCATGACATTCAGGAGCTACATTCTTTGAACACGTGTCAAAAGGTTGACAGGTGATGAACAAGTGAAGTAGTTGAAAGATGGGGCAGAACTGAAGTCAGTGGGTGAAAGTGTGAATACCTTGAGTGATACTGTGTTGAATTTTTGTTTGAGTCTGGTCTGTCTTGGAATTGCTATCTCCCTTCCTTTGATAGGCTCTCATAACTTCCTATGATAGGACTGTTGGAAGATAAGGGAAGTGAAATGGATGGGTGTTAGGGGATTGTGTCTTCACCCGGGGATGAGGGAAGGTTTCTATTATACTCTGATATATCAGGGAGGATCCTGGGTCAAGAAGGATTCCATTCCAAGCCACTTCCTTTGAAAATGTTTGCCCATGACTTCACTGGCGATAGAGAAAAGGCCATATTGTAAATATGAGTATGCCAAAAATTAAACTCTTGATCTCCCTATCCCCACATTGCTTCTGTGTTCCTCATCAAAGTAAGGGATAATTTTTAATCACCTGGATGTTCCTGCCCCTGGCCTTGGCAGTTCTCCTGAGTATTTCTAGAGTCTGTCCATTCCCTCACTGTCCTTCATCATCATTCTGGTGCAAGTGCCATCAGTCCCTGGTGGGGCCATGACTGGAGCTGCCCAGAGTTGGTCTCTTTTCTGCTATTGCCCCCCTATAGCCTGTGCTACATGCAGCAGTCAGATGGTTTTTTAAAACTTTACATCTGATCACGTCACTCCTCTCATGACATCCTATAGTGGTATTCTGCTGCCCTTAGGATAAATCCCCAAATCATTACCCACCCCATCTAGCCCTGCCTACTCCTCTGACTTCATCTCAGATCCACTCTCTCACTCCCTTCCCCACCCATCCACCCATCTGGCTCCAGCTGTCCTCCAGCCTTGGGATCTGGCACATCATCAGTGGATCTCTGTCTGTCCCTCCCCCCCACACACACACACATGCCCACACTCGCCCGCATGTGTGCCTCAGCTCCTACTTATTCTTACCACATCCTGGTTGGGTCAACATTACTTCTTCAGAGAAAACCTTCAATCTAATCATCAATCTCAAACCTCCACTCTAATCATCTTCCTCAGTTACAGTTCTCCATTTCATCCTTGCCCTTTTCCTCATAGCACTCACCATAGGTCGTTATATGTGTCTATTTAAGTGATTGTGGTAGGCACTTAATAAGTATTCAAGAAATGAATATTGGTCTCTGCCATCAGACTGTTAACACCATGTGGGTAGAAGCCATTTCTGACGTGTTCACCAGCACATCCCAGGCACCCTCTGTCACGCCTGATATACATGGTGGATTCCCAGTAAATGGCAAGTGGAAAGATGAATACACAGAGAGATGGCAAATGTGACAGGCCAGTGGTTCCCACCCTATAACACACTGTACTGCTAGGAGTTATATGGTAGAGTTTGGCAAACAGTTCCTTAAGAAAAGAGTAGATATTAACACTGTTCTTCCTCCGCTGCCAGCTCTTGCATTATGTGTTTTCTTGGGGGACAGGGTAGAGTTTGTGCATGACTCAGGAGTGCTTGTGAGGCTTGAATTCCTGTGACCCACAGACACCTCTTTCAGAACACCCGGGGTCCTTGCCCATAATCGCCACTGGACTACACTGCTAGCAGACTGTACCCAGATTAGTGCCTGCACAGCAGAGGCATTCAGTAACTATTCAAGGAATGACAGAGGCTGCTGTGGAAAGTGTTGCAGCATCCCATGGGATCGGAATACACCAGTGAGGCTGGCAGGGGCTGAATGTGAGCAGACATCTGCTGCTGCTGCTGCTGCTGCTGCTGCTTCTGCTGTTGAAGACAACCTGGGGGGCTTTTAAAATTTTGAGAGTTTATTTGCCCAAAGTGTGGTGCTAGATGCTTTATGTGTAAATTAGCCTTTTTACACTTCATAAAACCCTATTAGGTAGGTCCTGTTCCTGTTCTCATTTTACAGGTAAGGAACCTAAAGCTCAAAATGTTTGGTGACTCATGCAGTACCATGCAGCTAGTGAACGGCCACACTGGGACGTGCTCTCACGTGTCTGGCTCCAGTTTATGTTCTTGCCTGGTACGTTTTTAGTGTAAGGTCCTACTTGTGGACCCCTAGGTGAATGTTCTTAGTAGCACTGTGTGCATGTTAGGACGCTAATCAAGAGACACACAGAGTTGCTGTCAGGGAAGAAAGATGTGTTGGTCTGCTTAACTAGTGGACTTCACCTACAATACCAAGTCCTGTTCTGAGCCTCACATTCAAGGGGACAGAAATTGATCTCGAAACTAATCTCTGGAGAAAGATTGAAGAAAACCTTTGACCTTCAGAGGTGCAGACTTTGATGATATTAGTTAGTGTGAGAAAGAAAGCTTAAACTCATGGCTTGTGGCCCCAAGGCAGAGGAGGAAGGGCCTCTGGGGATGCTGAGGTACTCCTTGAAGCAGGTTGTTGTACTCTGATGTTTTTAAAAATAATGTGTAATGTGTTTCTTAAAAGACACCAGCTTTTACTTCATTGAGAATGACCGTGTTTTAATAGAAATATTTAGTCTCTTCCTCTGCTTTTTTTCTAATAATGCTAAGACTTCCCCTTACTCCAGAAAAGATGAGGGCCCCAATAAGATATGCCACTTTTAGTCTATGCTTTCATGTGACTTCCAACCCATTGTCATGCCCTGCCTCCCTAGTTTTGAGAAGTGTGGCCCGGAGAGTAGAACCAGAGAGAGGCAGTTTTATAGAGCCTGGGTGCCAAAGGTGGCTTCCAGTTGTCAGGATTGGGGCTGTAGTGGGGATTCAGATATTAGCAGGGGGTGCTGGTTAATTAGAGAAGTATAATATAATCCTCAGACTGTTGGGAGGGAAATATGCCTGTGGGGTTCATGACTTTGGGCTTTGAAGAGCACCAGTGTCAGCTGTAGTTCTTGGCGTGCTGACTGTGGGCCAGATGTTGCAGGGACACTCCGTATGTCATCTCACTTGGAGCAGCAGATGTCAGTTCTGTTGTATGTGCAGAGATTGTCCAGCTTGTGAAGGGAGAGCGTGGGCTCTGGAACCAGGATGCCTGTGTGAGTCCTGGCCCTGTCACTTATAAGCCGTGTACCCCTGGACAAGGGCCTCAGTTTTTTCATCTGTAAAGTGGAAAAAATACTAACTAGTACCTGGGGCAGAAGGTTGCAGTGAGAATCAACTGATGTCATATAGGTGAAACTCTTGGAAATGTTTCATTACCATGTTAGGTATCATTTTTATTGTTATATCCTTTCTCTAGATGAGGGGATGAAAGTGAAGAGGGAGGGGTCCCAGAACTAAGATTCAAAATTAAGAGCCCTATCAGCTCTCAGTTTATTTTATCCCTGTGCTGCCTTCATTGTTTCCAGGTGTGTTTGTAATGTCCATGTGGATTAATTACTAGGGCTGCCATAACAAAATACCGTAAGCTGGGAGCTTAAACAACAGAAATTTGTTTTCTCACAGTTCTGGAAGCCACAAGTTCAATATTAAAGTGCCAGCATGGTCACATCCTGGTGAGTGCTCTCCTGGCATGTAGACAAACTGCCTTCCTTCTTGTCTTTATGTGGTCTTTCCTCTGTCCACAAGCGGAGAGTGAGCTCTCTGGTGCCAGTTCTATTAGATTAGGACCTCACCCATAGAACTTCATTTAACCTTAGTGATCCCATAAAGGCCCTGTCTTCAATTACAGTCTTGTTAGGGCTTCAGCATATGAGTTTTGGGGGGAAACAGTTAAGTCAGTAGCATTCATAGTAAATTCTGTGCTGTGGATGTAGGTTGGGGAGGACCACAGAACGTAAGCAGGTTGCAGTAGTGGCTGTGGTTGTTTGTAAGGAGACTGACCTTGTTAACACTTGAACATAACTCTTATTTCAGCCTTGGAAGCGTTTGTCTCTGCTGCCAAGAAGTTACCACGAGAAAACATGTATGATGTTGTGGAAGGATATATCAAGATTTCTGTTGAGTGTGCAGAAATTTTCCAGCTCCTGAGTGGAGAGAAGCGACCTGAAAGTGAAGTATGTTGTTCTTGTCTGGCTTGATGAAGAGAAGAAAGTTAATGCTGCTGTCGTGTTAAGCTTAATGAGGAGAAATGTAATAGATATTTCCAAGGTGTTACCAATTTTCTACAGATGTTGCTTTGTTCTTGTGCTTAAGAATATATTCATTTTTGCCCCCTTGACCTTTGAAAGCATTTTAGTGGAAAATGCTAACTTGTTTACATTTGGTGAATAATATCTGAAGGTAGGATCATAGATTCTTGGTAAACAAGTAAAAATTAGGGGTCACAGAATCAGAACACATTGAGTTGATGGCTGTCTTCTGGTTTCAAAGAGGTTGAAAATTTGGATATTTATGAGCCTGTTGAAATCTCAGGATTATTGCTGTAAGACTGTAGACCCGAATCTCTCCAAAGCAGTGAGGCCCAGTCCTTAAGAGAATTTTCTCCTTTCATTTCGTTTTGTGGAATTGCAAGCAAGCTGTTTTCTGTTTCATTAGACTGTGGAAACAAGACTGAGTCCAGAGCCTGGGTCCTGGCAGGTCAGCCTGCCAGCTGTCTTCCTGCCTTTGTCCCCCTTGACACAGGATCTGGGTGGGCCTCATCCAACACGCTGAAGGCAATAAACCTGCAAGGAATTGTGGCTAAGACAAGAGGAGCATATATGTACAGAACAAAAAGAAGTAAGATGATTTCTAAGCGTTTCAGTTCTGTCTCTGCAGATGATATTAATATTTCAAGTTTTTGAGGCCATATTATTGCGGACAGCAAGTGATCTTTCACATTTTCGTGTTGTGGGAACCAACATTGTGAAAAAACTGATGAACAACCACATGAGGCTCATCTGTGAGTCCCTATACGCCTCGGGTTACAGGTGGGTGGCCTGCCTCACCTTTGCATATGGCTCTCTCGAGTGTGTTTGATCTTTAACTTTACCCAAGGCTGTAGGGACGGTGTCTCTGTCCCATTTCTCTTTGAAGTAGCCCCTGGCTGTCACCGACTTTCCCCCTACCTCTTGTTCCTCTCACTGTGCTCTACTGCTTTCCTCACTACCCCAGAGCACCCCAAATGTGCCTTTCCAGTGATTATTCCTTCCCCCTCAATGGCTCTTCTTTCAGTTAGTCATGGCTGTCTCTCTGCCTTCAGGCCTTTGCAGAAATATCATCTTACGGAGCAGGGGATGGGGGTGGGGGGTTCATTACCTATCCTGTGTCCCGTGACATTCTCGCTGTCCTTTTCTCCCCTTGAGCCTGCTTTATTTTTCTCCAGAGATCAATGACTATTTGTACAACTGTACAATTGATATAGTGTCCGACATCTGTTGACTGTCACCCTCCAGTAGAATGAAAGGTGCATGCCAGCAGCAGCCTTGCCTGTGTTATCAAGTACTGCCTTCCCATACCTGGAACAGTGCCTTGTACATACCAGGCAACTGCAGATGAAAAGGCAGCCAAGAGCTCACTTTCGGAGACGCCTTTATGCAGAAGTCTTCCTGTGTATCCTGAAGAAGGATTGAGATGTGGTCTGTCAGTCACATAATGATTTACTCAGAGACTAATTTCCATCTTTGTATCTTGTGTTTTGTATTCTTGATCCTACTCGGTCTCAGTATATTAGCTCTTTTAAAAAAAATTGTTATGCCTTAAAAAAAAAAGCCTGTCTCCTTCCATCCTTTTTCTGGTGTAGGGATAGCAAATCACACCACCAGGTGTGCAGTAGGCTTCATGGTGAGGTGGCTTGGTGCCTCTGTGCCTCTGCTGTTGTTGACATGTCTGATTTCTTCGTTTTCTCTGTGCAGGTTGGCTCGGGCCTGTCTGAATCTGATGGCTGCTTTGGTGACCCAGGGTCCTGAAGCCGCCAGGGACGTCTGCAGCCATTTTGATTTAAATAAAAAGACCTTGTACACCCTGGTGACCAAGAGAGATACGAAGGTGAGGAAGCCTGTCTTATGCCTTTGTGTGTCTCCCTTCTCTATGGAGGGCCATGGTGGTTTGTTTTTCTTCCTTTCTCTTGCTCTGGCCGCTATACAGATGAAATGGGAGGTGTTTGGGGGTAAGGGTCTGTCTGCGGGGAGGGTAGGCTTTACTCCTGGCTGGTGATGGGGCAGGCTGTGGAAACATCTGAGGAAGCTTCTCTGGGGGCTCGGTGGGTCTTCCTGGCTGTGAGGATGGCTCAGTTTGTGAGAGACTTCTCTACTGGGTCAATGAAATAACACCTCTGTGCCTCATGGCCATGAAGCTTATAGCAGGTCCCAGTCCTCTGGTCCCATTCTGCCCAATTCAGAGGAAACCCTTGTAACTCCAAGGCAGTGAGGAACTTGGGACTTGGAGGGCTCTTTAGTAAGTGACTTGTGCTTCCCAGTCTTGTAATGGTTAGAACTGGATAGTGCCCAAGAGCATGAATGGGCATGTGGATGGTTGGTGTCAGGAGAACTATGAAAGGAAATTCTCTGGTGGCTCTCTAAGGTTAAGGTTCACTTAGTTTTGGAAGGGTTCTTAGAGGAAAAAAGCACAGCTTGAGGAAGGAGTCCTGAGCTTGAGGGGGCATTCTTCCATCATGTAGTTGTCCCGCCTGCCAGGTGAGCTCCCCTACTGGTTCTCAGTGCTCTGAGCAGCCCCAGCCAGAGGCTTACCCCCTTCCTAAGCATAAAGTTGGGCACCCTGTCTTTACCCTGTCTGCTGCAGTGGAGAATCTCATTAGAATAGTTCCCTTCTGTAGCCATCTGCTGCCTTGTCCTCTCAGTATTCCTGGGAATTGTGTGTTTTCCATTGCCAGGAAATGTACTGAAGGGCTAATAGTAATAATACCAAGCAACTGTTCTGCTCTGTGGGGTTTGCCTGGTGTTAAGGGTTTTACTGGGATTATGAATAAGGTATTTTCTGAGGAAAAAAATTCTAGGTCTTAGTGTCTCTTAGATACTATGCTTTGTTAACATGTCAACAAATTCCATTCAGTGAGTAATGGCCTCTGACATTTAAATGTGCTTCTAATAAAAAGAATGTGTGTGCTATTTGCACACTAGGGCAAATATCATGCTCTGGGCTTACCTGGCAGTAATTACCCATCAGATACCCTCCTGCATTCTACCCCTGTTTCTCTTGACCTCAGCCATCCCAGCCATCTAAGTCAAATAGACTTTCAGTATCCAGGCCACCCACCAAGACCAGACAATGTGGGAAAGCCCACCCAGGGTTCTCTTCCTGAATCCCGGCTGCAGGGCTGCACATGAGCTGTATTAGGGTCTCAGGGCAGGGTATTTTACCCTCCAGGATCTGTAAGATAGGAGTTATTGGCAATGGACAATATTTTTACTTTCTTTTGTATAATCGTCTGTATCAAGTATCTTAAATTCTTTTATGTTGTAGGATATAGAGTACAGGCATAAACTTTTTTAAATGTGTGAAGTGTCGGGGATATTCAGAAATAGAGCAGCATGAAGAACTTCCATGTACCTGCCATCCGCCTTCAGACGCTGTACCCCCTCCCCCCACTTTCTCTGTTTTGGGGCAGTCTATTATAGCAAATCCCAGACGTGAATCGTCTTCCACCATGAATATTTCAGTGTGTACTCTAACAGAAAAAGACCTTTTAAGGAACAAAACCACAGTACCATTATCACACCTAACACCATTAATAATTTCTCAATATCATTTATTACTAAGTTTGGCCTGGGTTTTTTCTGACTATTTCAAAATTGTTTTTATACTTTATAGATCAGACCAGGATCCAAGCACTGTCCCCACATTGCATTTGGTTGATATGTTTCTTAAGTTTCTTTGACTCTTTTTTGAATCTTTGAGATTTTCTGCCTCATTTTGCTCCTGCCTTTGTTTTTGCAATTTAGTTGTTGAAGATGCTGATAGCGATTTTTTTTAAATGAATGTATGTTAACATTTTGGAGGAAATTATTAAAGCCTCTAAAAGAGGAAAGATTATGGATATAGTCATCCAGCCAAAAAAAGCATTGTTAAAATCCTGTGCCAAAGAGCAGTTTTACCAAATATGCTTTGGTCTGTTTTAGACAGTGTTTTGTAGAACAAGCCTGAAAAGTTCAGGATGTTTTCTTCCTGGGATAACAACCTTGTGAGGTCACAGGGTAGGAATGAGGAGTAGGCGTGTGGCCTTCTTTCCGTGGGATTTGGATGCCTTTGATGGAGTGGACCAGAGATGGAGGGTGGAAACCCGGAGGCTGAGTGGGAGCCATGGCAGCGGCAAGCCTGGCGTGTGCAGATACCCTGCCCTGGGTAATCTCACCTTGTTTCTCCACAATGGCAGGAATCTGACATTTGGGCTTGTCCTGGGATATATAAGATGGAAGCCAGGAGATGATAACAGAATCCCTTTTCATTTCACTTAGATATTCATTGCTGGAGGGACCCATGAGAGGACGTTAGTCTAACTCTGCTATGTACAAGCAGGATAAGAAGACCTGGAATGGCAGTTAACTGGAACCAGTGTTTCAGGGCCCTGACTCTCAATACTGTTACTTTAGTGAACAGGGAAGGGAAAAAAAAAAAAAGCAGAACTTCCCACCAGCAGGGAAAGGATTAAAGCCTCCTAATTTAATTTTGCCAGGCAAGTTTTAGCTTTTTACCAGCATTCATCTGAAACATAGTTATATGTTGTCCAAGGTAACAAATTAACTACTTGAATTAGGTGACTTGTTTGCTTCTTCCTTTTTTTTCACTCTGTTTTCCAGGCTAAAGTGAAGTGGCAAGATCACTGCTCACCACAGCCTCGACCTTCTGGGTTCAAGTGATCTTACTGCCTCAGCCTCTGAAGTAGCTGGGAGGTACTTGCCACCTCACCTAGCTAAATTTTTTTATGTTTTGTAGAGAGGAGGCCTTGCTGTGTTGCCCAGGCTGGTCTTGAAATCCTAGGCTCAACCAATCCTCCTGCCTCAGCCTCCCAAAGTGCTAGGATTATAGGCGTGAGTCACTATGCCTGGCCTGACTTGTTTACTTCAACAATGAGACATCTTGATGTCTTGGGAGCAGTAGTTACTATAAGCTTCCTGAGGTCAGGGGCAGTATGTTAGTCATCTTTGCACCCTTTCTTGGCCTGAGATGACAACGGCATCTTGAATGCAATGGGTGTTTACTAACCTTGAACTGGTCCATATACTAAGGAAGTACAGCTCGTTCTTAACAGCAATGATCATTGTACCCACACTCCTTGTTGTGATGAGGCACACAGCTAGGCCTCAGAGCAGAGAGGAGAGTTTGAAGTTCTCAGTTTTTCAAATAAACCCACATTGGTCTAATACCCTGCTGAGATGCTGCATGAAATGGATGGAGACAGACTCAGTACATATAACACGTGAAAGGACTTGCTCTAGGTGTTAGAAAGCATGGGCTGGATAACCTTCCTTTTTTCCAGAAGAAACATATGCCAAATAAAACGAGATGGAATTAAATACTTGCAGTGACCTCATTGGTGTCAAGAATTATCCTTGTACCTTGAGAAAGTGAGCAATGAAAGTGCATGAGAGTCCTGAGAAGAAGGAAGACGTTCTGTACAGTCAGACATAAAGCAGTACATTTGTTCAATTTCGTGACATCACAGTTCTAGAACTTAACTCACTTAGCTGTGTGTCCTTGAGCAAATTTTTAACTATTCTGTTTTCTCATCCGTAAAATGGGTGTGGTGTAAACATCTCCGTCTCAGGTTGTTAGGACTAAATGAGATAACAGAAGCGTAGCATTTGGCATAGTGCTTGGACATAGTAGGTGCTCAGTAAACAGCTTTATCATCACCATCATTGCTACCGCTACCACCTCCAGTGCTACGCCCGAGTGAAACAGAACTTTCTAGAAGGCAGAGACTGCTCCTTAATCTTTTTGGGTATTCAGGGAATAATTTGTTGTGACGTTAACATTTCTTGGCAGTGAATTAAGGTATTTTTGGGATAACTGAAGTAGCAGAGTTTTTGGTTTAAACAGTGGAAGATCCCAGCACACATGCTAGTTCTGAACAGCTGCTGAGAGAACTTCATGGCTACATGCCTTGGGTTCCCCATAGTAAAACAAGGGATGAGGAGACACAGCTTTGACTTTACAGTACTGGGAGGCAAAACTGATCATGTGGCCCTAGTGACTTCCTTGGAAGTGTTGACTTCTGTCACAGCCATTGGGCCCTCACCAAGGAGGCCCACTGCCCTGGGTCATGGCTGATGCCCGTGTGACAATGCGAGGCACAACCCTGGGAAGGCTGTAACTTGACAGCATCTGTGCTTTACTTTCTGGTGTGAGCTAATAGCTCTATAATATCTAATAAAACCCAGGCGTCACCATATTGATGTCTCATTAAAAGCAGCACCAATCTTTCTGTTATCGGATTTTTAGAAACCTAGATTTTCTTCAGCTAGCGAGAGAAGATGGATTGTGGAAGGCTGAGAGGCATGCTCTATACGAGTGTGGTCCATACACTAAAGACATTGATGTATTTCAGTCTAGGAAGGGGGCAGAGCTGTTCTGTAGCTGTGCTTTTTTGTATTGAGAATAGGGCTTAAAACAAGGAAAAGTAGAGAAGATTTGGAGGAAAGGGCAAAGAAAAGATCCCTTGCTTTCTGTAAAGAGTGAGCATTGGCTTCAAACTTGCACCCCTTGATGACTGGGGACAAGACCACTGTGTTCCTGTTTCCTTCGGCTCTGTGTGGAAAACGCATGTGACATATGGGTCTCCTTTGTCCTTCAGGGAGTGCACGACGTCCGCCTGGCCTACATTCAGTTTGCCCTTTCCTTTTTAATTGCTGGTGATGACAGCACGATAGTACAAGTGTTGGAACTGAAAGGTGGGTGTGCCCCTTTGTTCCTTTGTGGTTGTTTTGAAAAACCTACTGCAAACCATGTCTTTCATGTTAGGAAAAACTGTAGTCTTTGCAGCTGCTGTGTGCTCTGGAAGGAAGGGTGTATTACAGAGCTCTGGCCGGTGCTGTTTTGATGTCACTGGTCAGAATGAACAGAGGCATTCTGTTATGCCATCTGAAATGCTGAGCACCTTCACAAAGAATAAATGCAAACCTGAGAGAGGCAAACTCAGGCAAACAAAGAGGCATCATGGCTCTAGAATGTCCACAGGCTCACAGCTCTGGCTACCTGGCTGTCCTTAAGAATTATGTCCTAAAAAATAAAGTTCACTTACTTAGGTGCCTCTGCCCTGTGCTACCAGAGCATCAGTAACAGGGCTTCAGAGAATTCCAACTTGACACCTTCTGGAGGCTGTCTTCTAGAGTGAGACTTGGCATAGTTTCATCTATTAAGGCTGCTTGCGTTTGATCAAAGGTTCCATAAGACACTAAAGGGCAGCACCTAGCTCAGCACATGGCACCTCCTCGTAAGATTCCTTGGAGTCATACTCTGTCTGGAGGTCCCATGTCCTGGCCAGAGATCTGGGAGTTGGAAGAGTAGCAGTGTGCTGTGCCTGGGATGGTTGAGTCTCCCATCCTCCCTAAAGTGGAGACCTGAGCTCCCTCTAGAACATGACTTTTGGGCCACTTGGAGAGTGCAGTGGTCGCCTTCTGGTGTTGTGGGCCTGGTCTATGCTGCCATGGTAGAACAACATGGGAGCAGACGTGTGGTTGATGTGCAAGATGAGGCAGCCGTCAGATGTGGTTTTTTTCAGCTTGTTACCAGGAACTAGGTTTGGGATATGCTGCTGCTGTCAGAGCTAGTAGTTTCTTTAAGATTCCCTGAGTCATCTTAACCATCTGGCCTTTTATTTAAGGACAGTGGGTACCAACCATTTACACTGTTAAGGGGGTGGGGATAGACTTCAGTTCATTGTTTCTCCTGGGAAGCTTGGCCTTATGCAACAAAACTTTAAGATGCTTATGCATGGGTTTGGATTTTTGACAGGCTCATCTCTGTGGGCCTCTCATAGTGCCCCATGCCAGAGCCAAGTATTACCCCGAACCATTGCCTGGCCTCTGTGTCCATAGGCTGCTAGCACTGAAGTGGGTTGCACAATGGAAAAAGGAAAAAAAGAAAAACTTTTAAGTACTTGACCCAAGAATGCCATATCTAGTCATTTATCCCAAGGAAATAATTAAGAATGTGAGTAAGAGGTTTTACTAGGGAATATTTTTTATATTGGCTGAAAATTGGACTCCTAGCCATCCATCAGTAAGGGATTAGCTGAGCATCCTAAGGACTAGTCATAAGATGGAATGCAGCTGTTAAAAATGATGCAGAGAAATGCTTAATGACATCTGAGTTTTGAGTAATAAAAGGTCGGGTATAAACTCAGTTATAAAATAAAGAATGGCCTCATTTTCCTAAAAGCTAAACAGAGTAGTATGGATATGTCAGAAGGTAACCTCTGGGCAGGGGGTTATGACTGACTGTCTTTTGGTTTGTCTGGTATCTCCTGATTTTTCTCCTTTTAAGAATAATGCTTTTGTAGAAATTGTGCATGCCCTTGAAGCACTTGCGGAGAAAGAAAAATTGTAACTGGTTTGGTGCTTCCGCCGCTGTCACCAGTGCATTAGTAATGATACAGCATCAAACTCTGGCCTTGATGCTGTATCATTCCTGGGGACCGAAAAGTAGGCAGCAAAAGCAGCAAGTAAACAAAATCCCCCAAAATTCTACTACCTCACCCCAAAATGATGACTAGTATTTTAAACATGTCTCTGGTCAAGTCTAAGCAAAAGTTAAATTTTATTAGTCTTTTATGATTCCATACATTCTCCTTCAGCAAGTATTAAGTTAAAATTTGACGTAATATGAGATAAGTAAAGTAAAACAGTACTAAACAGCTTCCGATCTTCTTAGAATGTTCTGTCATTGGTTCACCTTTAGGTACTCATGATTTCCTATGCCACAGTAGGGAGTGGTTAGTTCTACTGTGAACTTGTATAGTTAAAAAAGACAAAACTTAAAACTTAAAAAAGGTAAATGGCATTGTTTGGCGTGCTATTTAAACAGTAAGGTACTCTCATCTGATCTCGTTTTCAAAATGCTTCTGAATTTAATGGTTTGAAACTTTTACTTTCAGAATTTATTCCTTGCATTTTTAGCTCAGGCATAAAGGAAGATAGGATTTCTACCATCAATATTTTGTTATCTACACTGAAAACAAAGGTATGTGCTTGCTAATCACTGTATCTGTCATCCGCTTTCTCCTTGTGAATGAAGAAATACTCTATCGTTTTACAGGATTCTAGAACGACAACATCTTATTTAGATTGCTATATAGGTTGAGTAGAAAACTATTTCTTAAGCAGAAACACATCCTTAGCGGTGAACAAATCCTGGGACTAGAAGGACTAGCTGACTCAGCTGCTTTATTACAGTAGTAGACGAGCTGTTGGTCACCATTTCACAGTAACCCTGTGTCATAACCATAAACTGTAAATTACAAATACTACTTCATTTACACTTCTAACAAAATATCATTTTGTGTCATGTTCCATATTCTGCCTTTTGCAAGCATCTTATAGATGTTTAAAAACTTGCTAGAAGGATTACTATCTTTAATACAGAAGCACCTTCAGTTGGAAAACTGATGCTTCCAATATGAAAAGTTGTCAAAAATCCACATAAAAATGGCTCATAGGCATGAAAAGGCTTTACTTTCATAGTGTTTTAAACAGTGATTCTCAACTTGGGGCAGTTTTGCCTTCTAGGGGACATTTGGCAATGTCTGGAGACATTTTTGGTTGCAGAAGTGGGGAGTGCAACTGGCATCTAGTTGGTAGACATCAGGGATGCTGCGAAACATCTTGTGATGCATGGGATAGCCCCACATTAATTACCTGACCCCAGCAGGGCTCGGTGGCTCAGCCTGTAATCCCGCGCCTTTGGGAGGCTGAGGTGAGTGGATTGCCTGAGCCCGTGGGTTCGAGACCCACCTGGGCAGCGAGACCTCATCTCTACAGCAAATCAAAAAATCAGCCGGGCATGGTAGCACGTGCCTGTAATTCCGGCTACTTGAAAGGCTGAGGCGGAAGGATCACCAGAGCCCAGCAGTCCGAGGCTGCGGTGACTGGGAGCGGCCACTGCACTCCAGTCTGGGCGACAGGGTGAGACTCCAACTCAAAAAAAAAAAATACAATTACCTGACCCCAAATGTCAGTAGAGCTGAAGTTGAGAAACCCAAATTTAAAGTAATGCCAATAATGACGTACAGAGTTTTTGCTTGCCTACCAAAATAACATTGACTTTTAAAAACAGTGGTGGTGTTCAATGCTATCAAATATGCTTTGAATCAGGTACTTTCCTGGAGGAAGAGTTACATCCCCTATGGAAGATTACATAGTTCTGGCAATGTGTGTCAGAGGTCTTAAATGTGTTCGTGGACCCTGGCATATGGTTGTTCTGAACTGGAAGGGTTGTATCAGAGCCACCTGGGGAATATATTTGAAATATATGTACCTTGGCCACATCCCCAGAGATTCTGGGAGAAGCTTTGGGTGGAACTGAGGACATGTGCCACAATTCCATTTGCAGGAATCGGTACCAAGTTCATAGTCAATAGATGCAATGAAGACTTTGTACAAGAGTGCTAATCATGGTTTTATGGAGAATAGTTACAGTTTGGAAACGACCTAATTGTAAACACCAGGGGAATGGTGAATGGTCCACTTACAGGATAAAATAGCATTTAGCCCTCCAAAATGATGTTCTAAAGGAATTTTTAATGTGGGAAACGCTCATGCTACATAAGTAATCATATATAAATATAATCTCAGGCAAAAAGATAACTAATACATATACATGTATATGGTATGGGTGTGAGTGAGGCCTGTATATTCCCAGGATGGTTGGGAATATTGGTGAATTTTCTCTTTATGTATTATTCTTTTTGACCAAATTTTCTGCCATTAGCACGCATTATTTTTATAATGATGAGAAAACAATAAACATCATTTTAAAAATAATTCCTTGAACTTCATATGTTTTATTATTGTTTTCAGGTAGTTCACAATAAAAATATTACAAAGACCCAGAAGGTGCATTTCTTTACGGGGCAGTTACTGAACCACATAGCATCCCTCTACAGCTGGAATGGGATTACTGATGTGAACCCGGAAAACAGCCAGGTGTGGTCCCTTGTGGGTTTCAGCTGACCTCATTGTTGGTACATGCTTCTCATTGTTGGGAGACGGAAGATTCTTAACACTATATGAGGCTTAAAGTCCCCTCATTTGATCTGTTTCTTGGTTGTGGTTATATGACTATATTAATTATCTGCTAATTGCTGTTATGATTTTTGAAATTTTGTTTTTTTATGATAAGTCTGTTTTTTCCTGATCTCTGAGGTATAATAGTAATTCTTCTTTCTTAATGTAAAAACTGTGATTCCCTTTAGCTGAGTGACAGCTTCATTCTCCCTGCAGTGCATGTGTGCTAGATCTTCCTCCTCTCACTTTACCTCTGCTTTTCCTTTCCATTCTTGCATATCCAGCTTTTGGAGTTTCAAGGCTTCTTTTACTTCAGGATTCTAAGTGTCTAGGATCCTCGTCTCCTAACATGAGTAATTTATTTTGTAATAATTAACTCAAGTGCTAAATCAAAATAGTTGTTTTCGGCCAGATTGCTTTCTGCCAGATTACTCATGCCTGTAATCCCAGCACTTTGGGAGTCTGAGGTGGGAGGATTGCTTGAGCTCAGGAGCTTAAGACCAGCCTGGAAAACATGGCAAGACCTCATCTCTACAAAAATTAAAAATAAAAAAATTAGTTGGGTGTGGTATATGCACCTGTAGTCCCAGCTACTTGGGAGGCCAAGGTGGAAGAATTGCCCGAGCCCAGGAGATCAAGGCTGCGGTGAACCGTGATTGTGCCACTGCACTCCAGCCTGGGCAACAGAGTGAGACCCCAACTCAAAACAAAAAGTATTTGCTCTCATGTTGACCCACTGCCAATGTACATTTTAATTTTCAGGGTGTTTCTGAATGTGGCCTTGGCCAGAGTAGTGAAGGCTCAAACTTCCTGTAAACTTTGTAATAACTTACCTCTCAGGAGCCTACTATTTTACTTCCTTTTATCTTGGAGACTTGCCCGCGTTCTCTTGTTTTAAGCATGTTTTTGTAGCTCTATTACCAGGAAGCCTCAGGGGCTTCATAAAGACACTCCCAAATGTGGAATTTTATTCACAAGAGCAAGAGAAATTAAGTTATTTTTAAGTCTTTAAGAATGCAGGTTTAAGCTTGCCCTCTTATATGTATTATTTTATCTTGGTCAGTGTATATTTTTTTTGTTTGTTTATTTTTTGGAATAATGCCAAGGGTTTAATTTAAAACGTTTCAAGTTTTTATTAGCCAGGTGATATTGTCCTGTTTTATTCTGTAGCTAGTACTAAGGTTTATGAGTTTGGGATTTTCATTGAATTTTTTAAAACCCTCATAGGTTTCTACAAAAGAAGCAGGAAAAGCAATGGTGAGGGAACTCGTTCATAATTTCCTGATGGATCTTTGCTGTTCACTTAAGCATGGGATTAATTTTTATGATGCATCTTTTGGTACCTTCGGCAGGTAAAGTATAACATTCACATAAACCCTGGGTTGTGTGTTCTTTATAAGTCATCATATGCATGACTTCTAGTGGAAATCAGTTAAATAATGAAATTGTAGGTTAGAACTAGAATTATGGACATTTTAAAACTCATTTTAAGGATGAGCAGTTGGAGACCCAGAGAACTTCTGTTGATTGCATGCCCTTGGGGGCAGATGTGTCAGGGTCACCATGTTTAGACACATAGATTATGGGGTATTTTACCCAGGGAGGCACAGCATGTATTTACCTAAAGACAATGGTATCAATTGGATTAAAAAAAAATTAGTTATTTCAGCCATCCCAGAGAGGGTTGACCCTGACTTGGACCTTGCAGCAGTCCTGAGGTGGATATCATTGGTATCCCGGTTTTGCAGAGGTGGAAGATGGTCACTGAGGTCAAGACACTTACCTGCTAAGTGGCGCAGCTTGCTTTTGAATCCAGGAAATCAGTTACAAAACAGATAGTCATAACTGAACAGTCCTCCCTCTCCTCAACCACAGGCTGCTGATTTCAAAATTGTGTTTTTACATTTTGTTTTATATTTCACAATTATGATAACATTTTATCAGTAAGGAAACATGAAATCCAAACCTGCTGGACTTCATTATGTTCTTTGCAGCTTTCACTTTGTAGCATGTACATGTCCACATAGATATTTTATAATAACCCAAATGAGCTACTGTTCATCAATCTGCTTTTTTCCCACTTGATGATAAAAACGTTGGACATATTTCCCAGTCATTGGAAATGACTGACTTTTTACCCCTAGACTGCATAGCATTTCATTATAAAGATTTAGGCAGTTTGATTTACTTCTGATTTTAGCCAGTCAGGAAATGACTGACTCTTTCAGAATAGAATAACACAGTGGGAATTTTCCTGCTTATGTACGAATTTGGGCTTGTTTTGATTCTGAAGTTACATGATTTAACTTACCACATCATTTCTTTTTTTTTTTTCATTTCTTTTTTTTTTTACCCTCTCTCATCGGTAAGAATGAGCTCATTTTCCTGATGAAATGTAACAGCAGTCTTTTATAGTCTAATACAATGTACCACCATGTTTAAAATACATGCTTTTGTCCCCCTTTTTAAGGTACTTTTTTTTCTTCATAACGAGACCCATGGAATAGATGATCATTTAATGAGCATATTGAATCAACTTGTGGGTGTGGATCTGTTTGGAATTAGCTGTGGTTTACGTGAATTGTGAAGCCGTGGACAAAAGACAAATGTTTGTGCTTTGGGGAGAGGAAGTTTTGTTTGTGGACAGTAATGGAAAGCTTTGAGAAAATTGAAACGCATGGTTCCCCGGTAGTCATGTGGCTTGTTCCCTAATTTCCTGTAGGTCCCTAGGTGAATGTCACCACTTTAGGGAGCCCCTCCCTGGCAGCCCATTCCAGAATAGCCCCTCCACTGTAGTTGTCCTTTTGCTGGCTTACACTTTTGTTTGTTTGCTTATTTATTTACTTGCTGATTTATTTTTTTTGCTTGTTCATTATCTGATTGGTGAGAAGTAGTGAGAACAGAGGTTGATTTGTTTTGGATCTGTAGTCCCTAGGACAGTGCCTGGCACATAGTAGATGTTCACTGAAAGCCAGATATTAGAACAGAGAACAAGGGTTGGCAAACTTTCTGTAAAGAGCCAGAGAGTATTTTAGGTTTTATGGGCTATACAGTCTCTGTTGTGACTACTCCATTGTGCCATTGTAGCACTGAAAGAGCCATAGATATAAACAAATGGGTGTCACTGTGTTCTAATAAAACTATTTACAAAGATAGGTGTTGGACACTAGTTTGCTAACCCCTGGTATGGTGGTTAAAAGAGAAGGTTCTGGGACAGCCCCTTTGGGTCCCCTCCCACTGTGGGAGCTTTTCTGTCCTCTTAATAAATCCTGCTTAAAAAAAGTGAAGTTTCTGGAGTCAGATAGATGGGCTTCAATCCTAACTTAGCTCTGAGACCTTGAGCAGGTTATGTATTCTCCCAGACTCCATTACTTCATTTGTGAAATGGGAATAACATTAGCACCTGCCTCAGAGAGGTAGACTGGGCTAACTGTCTACAGCAGTGTCTGGCATGTATTACATAACTATGTAAATATCAGCACTATTTATTTTATTGCACTGCCACTGATTAATGTATGTGTAGTATCGTTTAGCCCTCTGTACATTTAATGTTCTGTTCATTTGTTCATAGTTTTCATATTAAGAAAGGGTATTTTCATGTCCCTTTAAAAAAAGTTTTCTGATTAAAATTATACTCTTTCTAATTCAGTTTTTTAAGACCTTTACTATATGTAAAACTGTCACATAGCGTTGTAATTTACTCAATTTATGAGGGAATACAAGACTCTGAGGACCTTAGAAACCATCAACACGGCTTGTACATGAGGTGCATTCTGAGGTTTTTCTGGATGTTTTAACTTCGGTTCTGTGTAAGGGGCATGTATACATAGTGACTCCCAAACACAGAGGGAGCCAAGAAACCAAAGAAGGGGCAGATGATTCCAGCCTATTGGTATAGACTGGCTTTATGGGGGAACTCACAGACAGAAGTGTGGTCTTGGGCGACTGGGATGATGAACCATAGGGAAGGGGTACACATGCTTCAGGGAAATGGGTGTGGATTTGATCTAAGGGCAGGATTGATGATAGATATGAGTTTATCGAGGTTGATTGATCTAAGGGCAGGATTTATGGTAAGTGTGCTCTTACGCAAGGAATGATAGCTAAACTAGAAATCTCAGAGTCATTCCCAGAATCGGGATTAATCCCGATTCCTAAAAGGCTTGGAGGTGGGTAGTGCCTAGCGTCTACAGCTTTGGCTTGTGTTGCATCCTGGATTATTGCTCCTGGAGCCAGGCTTATCTGCTTCTTACTCTTGTCATCTCACACTTCTGAGGACTATTTGTCCACTTGGGGACAAGTTTTGTATAGTCTCCTGTGGTAAGTTTGTTTACATCCTAGTTTCTTTCAGCTGCTAAGTAAAGGTGTAGGGATTTGAAATGAGCTAGAAACAGAAGACAGAAGATCTTATGCTATCTTTTTGAGTTTTAGAAATAATTTAGTGGCAGGGCAATCTGGACCATGTGGCAGTTCATGAGCACTTCATATTAAAAAAAAAACTTCATCCTTTGAAGAGAAAAATCCTTTTTGTACTCACACACACCTGTGTTGACATATGCTTTTCAGAGTGGAACTTGGGCGTGAATTCCTCCCTGCTGAATTTGCCTTTTCTATACAACATCCTTGACTTATAGGCCCCCTGGAGTTTTCTTCCTCTTCTTTAGAAGTCAAATTGAATTCAAGGAGGGAAGAAGGAAAGACGAGACAGAACAGGCAAAGTAGAGACTTTTTCAGCCACTCCGTAGAGGACTGAAAGAAAAGCCCTCTGGGGGTGAGCTGGAACCTTACCAGCCATGAAAGTATGCCCTTATTCCATGGGGGACATTCACCCACTGCAGTGGTACAGCTGTGTTCACCAAGGGCTATTCCCAGAGCTGCCATTATCATCCTGAGCTCTTGGTGTGCTCTGTCTGAATCTTCCCTGCTGACTTCTCCCCTTCTCTTTCTCTAACAGAGGTGGAAACCTGACACTCTTACATTTCTTGCTGGGTTTGAAAACTGCAGCAGATGATGAGCTGGTGGCCGACCTTGTGGTGAACATCCTCAAAGTGTGCCCTGACTTACTGAACAAATATTTCAAGGAAGTAATGTTTTCCTTTCTCCCACGAGTGAAGTCCACTTGGTTAAATAATATCAAACTACTAAACAAGGTAAAACACACACACACACAATATTTAAAAGTTGCTAGCTGTGTAGGGGGTGGAGCATAAGTTTATCATATGATCTGATAAACTATACAATATGAAGACCTTTCAGAGATAAAAAGGGATATATTTTTTAAATTTAATCATTTTTATTTTTTGAGTTGAGATCTCACTCTGTCACCCAGGCTGGAGTACAGTGGCATAATCATAGCTCACTGCAGCCTCAACCTCCTGGGCTCAGGCAATCCTTCTGCCTTAGCCTCCCAAGTAGCTGGAACTACAGACATGCACCACCACACCTGGCTAACCTCTCTATTTTTTGTAGACATAAGGTCTTGCTATGTTACCCAGGCTAGTCTTGAACTCCTGGGCTCAAGCAATCCTCCTACCTCAGTCTTCCAAAGTGCTGGGATTATAGGTGTGAGCCACTGTACCTGGCTAATTTTTCTACTTTTTGTAGAAACAATGTCTTGCTATGTTACCCAGGCTTGTCTTAAACTCCTGGGCTTAAACAGTCCTCCCACCTCAGCCTTCCAAAGTGCTGGGATTATAGGTATGAACCACCATACCCATCCAAAAGGGATATTTTAGATCATGTAAATTTGTTGCCCTTGTTTTTCAGAGAACTGAATTTAAAATTAGTGCAAAGTCTGAAATGTAGGGTAGTTTTTATTTTTATTTTATTTTTATTTATTTATTTTTTTTGAGTTGGAGTCTCACTCTGTTGCCCAGACTGGAGTGCAGTGGCATGTACCCGGCCACTGCAACCTCGACCTGCTGGGCTCTAGCGATCCTTCCACCTCAGCCTTCCAAGTAGCCAGAACTACAGGTGCGTGCTACCATGCCCAGCTAATTTTTGATTTATTGTAGAGATGAGGTCTCACCAAGTTGCCTGGGTGGGTCTCAAGCCTGTGGCTCAGGCAATCTACTCACCTCGCCTCCCAAAGTGCTGGGATTACAGGCTGAGCCACCGAACCCAGCCCTGTAGGGTAGTTTTTAAAGATTGCTGTTTCAATAACAGCACAATTTGAAATAAACTGTGAAATGTTGGTCTGCTTGTTTAACTGGATGTGCATTAACTTTCTTTTGACCATAATGTCAGCACCCCCCCATCTACCAGTGGAGGTACTTACTATCATCCTTTGGCGGCGATGCCTGCTTGGCTAAGCTTTCTCTCTTTTTGATTTATGGCCCAGCTAATGGTAGAATACCTGGGATTGTTTTCTTGTGCCTTGACCTGTGCCTGACATTATCTGTAAAACCAGTGTTTCTTCTACTTAAGTGCCTGTATGTGCAGTCCCCTCATGGATCTTGGAACAAGGAAGATGCATTTTGCCTTTCATTTGGTGCCCACAGCCCTGTGACTAGGATCCTTGCAGAGAGCTGCTTCTGGTGCTGCTCTCCTAGTTACAGGGTAGCCAGGCGAGCCATGTGGTCTTCATGGGCCCATGTTTGAGGCCTTGCTTGGCTGCTTACTAGTTGTATGGCCTTAGGGAAATTACCTAACCTCACTAAGATCCAATTCTGTCATCCATAAAGATGTTTTTTGTTTGTTTGTTTGTTTTTTGAGTTGGAGTCTCACTCTGTCGACCAGACTGGAGTGCAGTGGCCGCTCCCGGCCACCGCAACCTCGCCTGCTGGGCTCCGGC